CTTCCGATATCTCTCTCCTAACCTGGCTCATAGTACTCATTTACCAGAGAATTTGTATTTAGGGTGTTTGGTGGAATATGGATGACTGCATTCCACCCCACCCCCCCAACTTTGTATAGAAATAGGGCTTTAAAAATAGTTTGTAAGGTTTTTTTTTTTCTTTTTCTTTTTTCCCTTGAGAGTCTTGATTTGGGGTCAAAGCTGGGCTCTGCCCCCTACTCTAGTAAAGTAGCCTCTCTGAACCTTGATTTCTTCATCTATAAAATGATGATCATAACCATAACTACTCTTTAAGTAGTTGACACTGGGAACCAAGAACTGGGGAATACTGAGATAGGCCTAACTTGTGACGAAACCCAGGAAGGAAATATCCTGCAAACTCTGGTAAGAAGCCACTTATTCATTTGTAAAAAACCTTGCACGGGCCCCTGTCATCCTCCTTCTATGTGGTCATGGACATTGATGGATGCCCTACCAAAGAAGTCAGATTTCAAGGGATGAGGAGCTGCATACACATCTCAAAAATCAAACTGGTGAATGCCTAGGCGGGACCCAGAAACAAATGAAGGTGCTGAAACAATAGACATGTATGTGAGTCAGCTGAAGGGCTGAGACTTCTAAGAAGGTTCCAATAGTTCTATATGAAACTTATGTTGGCCCAAGGATTCCACCCTGAACCAGGACAAGAGTCCACACACCTACTCCACGGATGCCCCTGGAGCCACTTGACCTCACTATACATACCTTCCACCTATGACCCTTTTCATTGGGGCCATGGAGCCTGAGAAACACATCATTCCTGTTCAGCTCGAAGTAGCCAAGTAAGACGGACTCTCATCCCTAACCACTGAAGATTTTTTGACTCCATGTCTCTTGGGGAAATGTTAGGTAGGGATCAAATCTACAGGTGGTGGGGGTAGGCCAGGAGGGTGGGTCCTAGGGGTGGAGAAGGGGGTGAGCTGGGAGGGGGACCAATCAGGGGAAGGGAATGCAGGAAACTGCAAAACACCTGATAATCATTTGGTAGTATCCCATACCTCCTGCAAGCCCTGCCACAGACCAGATCAATAAAAGAAAACCACCTGGTAGTCCTCAAAAAAATTAACGTGAGATAGAGTATGAAGTACTCAGCATAATGCCTGTCAAAGCATTGAGTACTCAGTAAATGTTAGCTATTAATATTATCTCACAGAAGCTAAGATTTGAAATATTAAATATATGGAGCTAGGGAGGTAATTTAAAACTTTTTAACAGAGAAGTCTTTTTTTAAGAGATGGGGTCTTGCTATGCTGCCCAGGCTGGCCTTGAATTCATGGGCTCAAGGGATCCTACTACCTCAGCATCCTGAGTAGCTGGTACCTTAGGCGTGTACCTACCATTGAGAGAGAACTCTTAAGAGAAATGTTCTTTCCTAAAGAGAGAGAAACTCTAGGTTATAAAACTTCACAATACAATAAACACATTCAATCTCTGCAAAGTCCTTTGCTCAAAGAACCTCAATTTACTTTGACATTGACTTACAAATTTCAAGGACTTTTAAGATTCTCTTTATGAAATGCATGAATATATTACTATAGTTTTTGGTAGATGAGTTTATATTTATCTGTTTTTATTGGAACTAAGGAAGGTATTTGGCCTTATGCGAAAGCTAAGGTGATATAAATGCTACTTGGAAAATAATGCAATATGAATGACTTGTTTAACATCAAACCAGGTAAGCAATCAAATCTTGTCGCTATTAAAATACAATTATTTACTTCTAGATTAGCCTAGAAACAAGAATATAGAATTCCGAGGCTTTTTTTTTCTTTTTTTAGTAAGTGGGAATCTTCAGAGATTTCCACTGGAAATTGCTTATTCTTGTCTTCTGTTAGAGCTTTGACCTTGAAATGTTGCATTTTACTTGCATCAAATGTATTTACCATTAACTTCATTATTGATAACAAAGCTGTGAATATACTCCTTAATTGATTCACCTGTAAACTTGGCTGAGGTCAGAATTTGGATGGCACATAGAACTGAATAGAGAGTCCTCGTCACCAGTTTAAAATTTAAAAATTAGATGTGTGAACACCCCTACAAGTATAAAATAATCCAGTCATGCACCATCTGTGGTTCTTGAGTGCTTGTTCCCTCACCTTCTGTAATTAAACAACTATGCTGGCTGCTTGGCTGAACAGGGATATGTTTTTAGACTGGCATTTGGTCTGAAACATTCTTTAGGGAATCAGTGAGTGATTTTAAATGTTCTTTCTTAGTTGGGTCTGGGACACACATTCTGTAGAATGAGCCAAGGAGTGTGACAGTTCAGCAAACATGTATTAATATGTGTTATGTGCCAACAAATCAACGTATTGGGATATGTTGTTAACTCACTTTGGTTATGTTGGGCAGCCTTGGGGACGAGAGGGGTTTTAGTTAGATCTATACTTCTTATCATGTAGCCTCAGAGACAAATGTTACTTAGTCCTTTATTTTCTTCACTAGTTGAGCCAAGCTCACTGCTGCTTGGAGTGAGATTTAATGTGGTTGTTGAACTTGAGTCTTGCTGTGTATCCTTTTTAACACTGACTGGTGTGTCCAGTATGATTTAATATTATCTTTAAGATTTGTACTCACCTCTCAGAGGGTTGCTGTGTCAGTTCTATTTGTGGCAAGGCAGGAAGAAATTTCTTTATAATTTCTGAATACCAGGTGGTATTGTGTCTAGAAAAATATTACTTACTTTTATTTGAGACTCCAAGTGCCTCGATGCTTTGGAAATAACTGCTGGATTTGTCTGTAGACACTTGAGTTCAGTTCAGCAAACTGTACTGAACATATATTATGAGCAAGCTCCTTGTGAGTCATCACCCTCAATAAGTATAGAGTCCAATAGAGGCCTGCCTGTATGTAGACAGAAAATGATGATCTAATGTAACCAACATATGCAATGAAAGACTTATGCATGAAGCATAGATACTTTATAGAAGATTATTTTTATTCAGGGTGAGGCAAGAGAGTTGAGTTTTATGGTGGAGATGTAGACTGAGGATGGTTCAGATGGATAAAGATGGGCTTTTTTATTTCTTTTTTTTGAGACAAAGTCTCACTCTGTTGCCCCTGCTTGAGTGCCGTGATGTCAGCCGAGCTCACAGCAACCTCAAACTCCTGGGCTCAAGCAATCCTTCTGCCTCAGCCTCCTGAGTAGCTCAGACTACGGGCATGGGCCACCATGTCTGGCTAATTTTTTCTATTTTTGGTTGAGACGGGGTCTTGCTCTTGCTCAGGCTGGTCTCGAACTCCTGAGCTCAAAGGATCCACCCGCCTTGGCCTCCCAGAGTGCTAGGATTACAGGCATGAGCCACCGTGCCCGGCCAAAGATGAGCTTTTAAAAAATTTGGTTTTTATTGTTGGAGGGTAATCCAGGCAGAGGAAATGTTACCTAGGTGTAAAGTGGCATGTAGCAGAGATCTAGGTATTGCTGGAATGTATATTGTGAAGGGAGTGATAGAAGGAGATAAAAGTAGAAAGGGTTGCAGGACCTGTATCTTGAAGGGTCTGGCCTGCTGTACTTTGGAGCTTGGAATTTTTTCTAAATACCTAGTAATCAGCTTCAGGTAACTGAAGAGATCTCAACCAGGAGAGTGAAAAGGCAGAGTTTAGTTAGTGCCCTCAGATAGCCATCTGGAGTTTGAATTGGAGAGGAGTAAAATTGGGGTTACAAATACTAACTAGGAAGGTTTAAAGGAGTCCAGGGATAAGTTTTAATTTAGTAAACTTGTGTAACTGAACTGTAATGTTGAGACAATGACAGGGAATGAAGAAGAGAGGAAATAGCAGAGAGTTGGATTGTGTAATCGAGAAGACTTATAGAGATGGATTGGTTATAGAAGGATGCGTGAGAGAGCAGTCTGGGTTTTGGTTTTAGTCACCAAAAAAGGAGAGTGAAGAAATAAGCATTCAGAGTGTTGGGAGAGATCAGTTCAGTTTTGAACATGTTGAGTTTAAGGTACTGTGATGTGTCTAGGCGTGGAGATAGCCAGTTGGCAATTGGATCTAAAGATACGATATTCAGTGGAGAGGTGAAGAGGGAAACTGTAGATTTAGGAACCACCAGCATGTAAGTGGTGATTAAGGAAGGAGACCATAGTAAGAAGGAAGGAAGCCAGTGGTAGAACTCGGGGAACATACAAGTAGTTGAAAGATATTCCAAAGAAGCAACTGGGAAGAAATAGGAAAAGAAGTTGGTTAGAAATAAGATGTTATAAGAACTGAGGAAAGAAGGAATTTCATGAAGGAGTAGGTGTCAGTGGTGTCCAAAACCACATAAAATATTGATTGGCTTTGGAAGTTTGGAGGTCCCTTAGCTATAACAGTTTGGGATAGAGGAACATTTCCATCAGAATGGTAATTTGCGTCCTGCCGTTGATGCTTATTTATTCTGTGTCTTGGGAAAGCCTTTTTACCTTTGGCTCCTTGTCTGTAAAGAGGTGGTTGGCCTCTGTAGCAGGTTTTAGCCTGTGGTCCATGGAGTCCCAGGGGTAAATAAAAGGTGCCTTGAGGCCCACCACAGAGATCAAGGGTAAGGTCAGATATTTATAGAGGCAGGTCAGATATTTATAGAGGCAGATATTTATAAGTCCTATCCTGCTTCAAACAAGGCCACTAGAGAAGCTTGATTTTTATCTGTTTTATATATTTGACTTTAGTATAAAATTTCACTGAAAGAAACATAGTGCAGTATAAAAAATTTGAAAACTACCTTCCTGTAGAAGCCTTAAGTACCTTCAGGCTTTGAAAACTATCTTGTTACTAGCTGGTGTTGAAAGTTCCTATTCTAGATAAAGATCATAATAGATGCCAACTTGCTCATGATTTGGATTTTATTCAGAGGTCAATGTTAGTGTCTGAGTTTATGTAATGATAACTTTTAATTCTCAATAAGAATGAAAATGTAACTTCTAAACAACTCCATTCTACTGTATATTTTGTTAAAAACTTTTTATGTGTCTTGCCAGGTTCTGACTCAGAAGATCTTTTGGAAGAATTGCTCTGCTGTTTGATGCAGTTAATCACTGATATTCCACTCTTGTAAGTTCTGGCTAAGCCAGGATTTGTTATATCTTTCTTATATATTGGAGATAATAATTTATCATGTCGAAGAGTTTGTAGGTTCTGGTGTAATACTTTCATGTGTGTCTTTTAAGAATTATATATCCATGTTTTCTTTGTCTTGCCTAATAACATTTAGACTCTGCCTATCTATCATCAAAACAAAATATTATGTTAAGGGAAAAATAAACTCTTTAGCAGTATTATTAAGTGTATGGTAGGCAAGAATAATCTCTAATAAGAGGTCTTACAGCTCTCTGGAAAGAAGAGTTTGAGAAGTAATTTCAATCTACTCTATATGTGGTAGACATAGCTAATTGATCACCTAATATTTGTTCCTCCTTTCTTCTTGATTTCCTTATTTTATTTCTGGCCTCTTTTGGAGAGGCCAGATTTCCATTTCCAGCCTTCCTTGAAGCTAGATAGGGTCAGTAAGATGTAGGGGAAGGTGCTCTAATGAGACTTCCTGGTAAAGCTCTTTAAAGGGAACTGATTCAGCTAGGAGGCACAGTTTTGCATTCTCAATAGTCCTTTTTCCTGCTGTCTGGAATGTGGACAAGGTCTTTTGAGTTGTGTGGCCATCTTGGCACCATGAACCATGAGACTCACAGAAAATTCTGCTTTGACGTCTTTGAGGTGCTGAACCAAAGTCAACAACTACCTATCCCCCTCCCTCACCCAGACTGCTCATGTGACAAAAATAGATCCTTATTTGTTTATACTACTGTAACTGGGCTTCTGTCACTGCAGCTCATTGCAACTCTTATGTGATTCAAAATGTTCATCTCATTTGTTATTTTTAATGGAGTGATTCTCAACTTTTAAAAAAAAATTGTCTCCCTGAGAAGCCTTGTTAGACATTTCTTTCATACTTGCCTCTCCTCCCCCAATGGAATTTAAATACCCCTGACCCACTGAATATCTGTTGATATACTGTGGGCCTTTAGAGGGCCACAAACCCTTATAACATCTATGGATTTTTTTTTCACTCCCTGAAGAACCAGTTTTCATCCCCTGTTGAGAATGCCTATTTCATCCCCTGTTGAGAATGCCTATTTAGAAGGAATTATTTTTGAAATAAAGAAGTAGATTTTGAAGTTTATCATCACAGAATTTCAATCTACATGGGCATGTGGTTGGAAATATGCTATTTACTTATGGCCTCAAAAAGAAAGATGGGTATTTGTGAGAAAATGGGTTCCTGACTTCTATTGTACATGAATGCTGCATCCAGAATTTTAATGTAGATTTAGAAGTGAGACCCAGTAAGCCCTGTTGTGATTTGGTCTGGTGGTGTGCAGCCTTGAAAGTAGGGCTGAGACAACTGAGGAGTCACCTGATAGGGAAGGGCATGGGGACAATTTCCCATTCAAATTGAACTCTTGTGACAGACACAGCTATTTACACACTCAATATCCTTTCTCCCCCTCCTTTCTAATGGAACTACAGTATTGTTCGGGGGTGGCACTGTGTGCCCAGCTTAGTTCTCAGATATCTTGGCACCTACATGTGGCCAGATGACATAGTTTGGGTCAATTTTATGGAAGCAGAAGTCATGAACTTGCAGAGTATGCCCCCTTCAGCCTTTTGCTTATTGCTCGCTTTATTCCTTCTTGGAATGTGGAGACAATGCTTGGGCCATCTTGAAACTGTCATGAGTGCCACATGCAAAGAATAATGTCCCAGGAGCATGGGATATTGACGACATTGTGAAACTATATACTCACCCTGCATCCCATATCTTTGGATTTTTTTCTTACATGGGAAAAATAAACACCTATCTTGGTTAAGCCACTATGGTTAGGTTTATTTAAACATATGGTCAGATGAGGGAGGGGGGAACACATATAACATGTATTGCCTTCTTGTCATGGTATGTGAGGTGCTTCATATGTTCCTGATTTAATTTTAGAAATAGCACCACCTCTAGTTACATTTTTTTCATTACCAAATACTAGCAATTTAGTATATATCCTAAATGAGAGAGAGTGTGTGTGTGTATTTTTTTTTTTTTTTGCCTCTATTGATATTATGTTTCAGTGATGTTAAAGGGGATGGAAATAATAAATACTTTTAGATGGTAAATAAGCCATGAACACAAGGAATAGAGCAGACATTTAACACTCTCAAGGAGCAGGCAGATAGTGTAATATATCAAACATTTCAGTGTTTTAATGTGTTTATACCTTTTAAATTAACTGAAAATGCACAGACAGCCAGCTGTCTTGTATTATGTACAGTCAGCTTTAACCAGCTGCTGAAACAATTTCTTATGATTTAATGTTCTTGGAACTCCAGCCTACAAGAAGGTTTGTTTTGGTAACAGTTTCCATGTGAAACCAAACTACTCTTTAAGTGTTTCATTTACTCTAACCATAGTGCAGTATAAAGGGGGTCAGCTTACGATTTAAGACGGAATATGAATATATGAAGGCAGTGCTTTCACACCTGAACATCTTCAGCCTTTGCTGAATTCACAGGTGAATGACAAGAGAAATCTAATTTTAATGGCCCTTGAAGGTAATTCAAAACTAGCTTGAATGTTTCTTACAAGATTTTTGTTAAATCGTTAATGTATTTTCTTTCTTTTTTAAAATTTATTTTTAAAGCTTTAGAAGGTACAAGTGCAGTTTTGTTCCGTGGATATATTTCACAGTGGTGAAGTCTGGGCTTTTAGTGTACCCAGCATGCAAATAGTACACATTGTTCCTAATGTGTAGTTTTTCACCCCTCACTTCCTTCCCACCTCTTGGAGCAGTAGTCCCCATTCCTTTTGGCACCAGGGACCAGTTTCATGGAAGACAATTTTTCCACGGACCAGGGGTTGGGGGTGGTGGGGAGGCGGAGCTCAGGCAGTGATATGAACGATGGGGAGTGGCTGTAAATACAGATGAAGCTACGAAGCTTCACCTCTCAACCACACCCCCCACCCAGTTCCTAACTTTCATGGAAGACGATTTTTCATTGGAGGGTAGGGAGCCAATGGAGCTCTATGGCCTGGGGGTTAGGGACAACTTTCATGGAAGACGATTTTTCATTGGAGGGTAGGGAGCCAATGGAGCTCTATGGCCTGGGGGTTAGGGACCGACCTCAGTTTTGGAGTCTGCAGTGTCTGTTATTCCACTCTGTGTGTCCATGTGTACCCATTGTTTAGTTCCCACTTATAAGTGAGAACATGTGGTATTTGATTTTCTGTTCCTGAGTGTAATAGAAAGAACATGTGTAGGTAGACCAGAGGTGGCAGTTGGAAGCCCAGTTTTGAATTTGTGACACTGTATTGGTTCTTGCAGTGTTACTGTAAGGGTTGAATGTGACTTCTGTGAATCAACCCAGTGCTGGAGTTTGGGTGGGGCCACAGGGCCATAGCAGCAGAAGCGGTGGTGTGTTGTGTAGACCCAATACTTATACTTTGGGGACTGCTTGTGATGCTGTTTTATTATGAAATAGAAATTATTTTGAGGTCTCAAGGTAGATTTTTTTCCTTTTTATGTTTTTGTTGCTATTGTTTTTTGGTGCAGCTAGTTATTATATATGATGTATATGATATATCACATTGTTAGCTGTGTGTGATGATGTCAATGTCAAGTACAGACCCCAACCCATCTCTCTAGTGCTGCCAGTCTGGACAGGTCTATGTGAAGTCTACTCAGAGTGGGCCTTTGTATTGCCCCCTGGCTTGATACACAACTTCTTTCTCTGAGATCCATTTATGTGTTCTGTCTTATGAACCTGTGAACTCATCAATGACTAGAACTATCTAATTTTTAGCCTGGCCCTGATTTGTAGATTTATCAATTATAATTTAATATAAGAAAACATTTTATAGGTTTTTATAAGTTATATATTGATAGAGATGAGATTTTCATAATCGATTGCCTTCACTGCCTTTTTTAGTGAGTGTATATCTATTCGTGTAATGTGACTTAATCTACTTGTGTTCAGGGAGTATCTGATGTTGTTTGCTAAGCTCCACCTCACTCCTCCTGCTTCGGCTTCACTGGTATCCTCGCCCATGTGGAAAATGCCAGCCCATTTTGTCTGCAGGGCCTTTGCCCTTTCTCCTCCCACAGTCACTGTCCCTTCAGGTATTTGCCTGGCTCGTGCTCTGCCCTCCTCCTTGCTTCCTGCTCTGAGGTCTGTGTTTTAGAAATGACTGCTCTGACTACCCTAAAATAGCTCCCCTCTCATTCTGTGTCCTTTGATCATGCTTTTTTTGTCTTACCACTTTTCACTACTTTTGATATTATCTGTTAGCTCTGTTGGTCATATTTCTCCAATAAAATTAGAATGAAATCTCCCTGAAAACAAGGGCTCTTCTTGTGCCAGGACTTGGTATGCTCACTGCTGTATCTCTGGTATTCAAGTTAGCCTGGCACGTGGTAGAATCTCAAATAATTTAATCACTGAGTAAATTAGTAGGAGTATAACCTATTCCGTGTGCTTAAAGCATTTTGTATGTTTCTTAGCATCTAGTCTATACAGAAACAGGATTGTGCTAAGACATATTCCATTGCAAATGTAGTGGCTCAAAGCTCTTTGTAATTGGCACATTATAACAACTAGGTGTCTTACTGACATTTGTAGTAGAAAGGGGCTACTAGAAGAGGAAACACTAAGAAATAATACTTGACAACTTAAAAAAAAAAAAAAAAGACATGATCTCACTCTGTCGCCCAGGCCGGAGTATAGTGACATGAATATAGCTCACTGTAACTTCTAACTCCTTGCTCAAGCAATCTTCCTGGTTCAGCCTCCTGAGTAGCTAGGACTGTAGGTGCATGCCACCACCCAGCTAATATTTTTATTTTTTTGTAGAGATGGGGGTCTCACTGTGTTGCTTGGGCTGGTCTCAATCTGCCCTCCAGTGATCCTCCTGCCTTGGCCTCCCAAAGTGCTGGGATTACAGGCATGAGCTGGCTGGCTGATATCTGACAATTTTTAAGGAAATAGTAGATTAATTAGTTATGAATGCTGAGTAG